TGTTGGTACTGTGGCTTCCTTTTGCCCTCTTCAGGATCCTGCTGAAGTGAAGTTTATAAACAGAAGTTTGGGAGTACTGGCAGGGATCACCAATCTGAATCCTTCAGTCAGCTTCCACCTAAAGAATCTGTAAATTAAGCTGCAGCCCTGTATAATATGAGATGACTTTCACAATATCATACTTTCTAGATGATTTCTAGACCCTCTGTCCTTCCTTAGATAAAGAGAGAAATCAATAGAGCCAGAAACCAAAGATGATTAGAATAAGTTTTCATGCAAAAGCAAATTAGGCAAATGATTGACACATGTTCTCTGACTTAATTAACTCTTTGCATCCAAATACATATTGCAGAATGTAAATTTCTTTCAGTTTTTCCTAGTTTAAAAATATGACAGTCCAAAATACCTAATATATATCTACCTCAACTGCACATATTACTACCTGCTACTCATCATTTTTAAGGCATAAGACATTAATAAATTTACATAATCACACCTTATATGGAATATTTCGTGGAGATTCATTTTTACAATTTATTTGTGAAAGATAAGTATATTTTTAACCATTCTCAGTGGGTACACAAACTCAAGGGAACATGAAATTTAAACTGTTGTGGCTGTTTCACCAAAGATACAATTAAATTGTAAATTACATTAAAATACTCTAAAAAAATATGATGCAGGTAAAATTCAACACTCCTAAATAACAGCATGTAGGGAGGAGAATGTCCATTCCCAAACTTCCACTTATCAATCAAGTAGTCTTAATCATTCTTCCGGCTTGACCATGCATGACTTTTTATGAACACTGTTAGGATGTATTCTAAGTTTGTATGAAAACAACTGAATCCTTATTATTGTTGTTGTTGTTGTTGTTGTTGTTGTTTTTCCACTAAAGCTTTTTAGTAAGGCTTCACAGTATATGGATTTCTCTCTCTCTTTTCCTCCTCATTTTATTTCTCTGAAATAAAACCACCACCTAGATGTTCCACTAGTGATGTTCCACTAGTGATGTTCCACTAGTGGGCTGTGATTTAGAGGTTGTACATCACACCTGAAAACCCAGCCTTGCAGGAATGTTTTCACTTAATATTATTAACAGCTTGAATCCACCAAATCTTGTCAGCTGTTCCCCTAAATCCAAACACATCTCTCTTCAGTTAAAGTGGCAAGAAGGCTTTAGGGAGGGAAATCTCTGAGATTACCATTGTGTTCAACCCTCTGGTTGGCAGAATAAGGTAGCAAATGATGCCAGCTCTTATGATCCCAACAAACCACAGGCAACTGAAGGCCTAAAACCACAGGCAACTGAAGGCCTGGCCTGACATGGGTTGCCCATCTAATTTTATGCTTATGTCCCTTTTAAAAAAATACCTCTTGAGGCCGGTAAGTTGGCTTAGCAGTTTAGAGCACTTATTGCTCTTGCAGAGCGTCTGGGTTTGATTCAAAGCCCCTATCCATTGGCTCACAACAATCAGTACCTCTAGTTCCAGGGTGTTTGACTACCTCTTCTGACTCCTGTGAACACTCAGAAGAATTAAGTTTACTGACTTTGAGAAGAGTGATACCTTATTTTTACAAATTTTAGATCATGTTAGATTTGCAAACTGCAAGTGGGGCTCTTCCTTTAGTTACTTTATCTTTTGATGTAGGGTCTCTCTCATTCTGCAGCCCAGGCTGACCTCAAACTCACTGCAACTCTTCTGCATCAGCGGTCTGCATGATTCCCCATGCCTTGATGAACTAGGGTATTAAAAGAACATTTTCGGTGCCTAAAGAGATGCAGTGATACATGCAGGATACATGCAATACACAGAGAAAGATGCAAGCAAAACACACACAAAATACCCCCCTTTTTTAGAAAGGACATTTTGTTGGAATCCTAGCAGTTCAACAAAATAGCCTTGAGCTCAATCTATCCTGAAGGAATTAGAAAGTTACACACATTCTGATACAGTTAGTTATGAGTTTGCTTTTCTGTGATATGTTGACCCTTTTATACATGGAAACCCAATTCTCAACATTTTTAACTGTTCAATGGACAGTCTTTCCTCTGAAAAATAAAGTGTGAGAAGGGAAAAGAAAGGGAAAGGGGAAGAAAACATTGGTCTTCTTTAATCAGTTCAGCACCAAGCCTTTGAACCAAAATCTAGTTTCTTCTACCTCATTCCTTGAACAGCTGGGGTAGTAAAAGGTTTAAGGTACCTGGGTTTTACTCTGTGCTTCATTATACACTAGAGACCATCTGTGGAGCTGAGAAATATCTTAATATGCCTGACAGCTTTTCAGAAAAGAACCACTGATGCTCCAACCTTTGGTTGTGTTTTGAAACTCTGAGGCTCCTAATTTTCTGGGTGGAAAGGAATGTCCTCCTCCCTAATTTCGAGACTGACACCCCCCCCAAGCCCAGTTCCCTATATCCTATTAAACTCATGGACCATCATTACTTACTGAGATGGTTAAAATCTACTTCCTGTATGAGGGCTTGGAGACATATGGACCAAAAGCAGCCTGGGACAATCACATCAGCTTTCTCTCTTTCCTACAGTCTACTCCACTGCTATGAACCTTTTCAGATATAACACTTTACTGGGCTTGAAGAAGTGATAGTGATCTTTCCCTGGAATGCCAAACTAAGAAAGAAGGAATGAAAGGAAGAAAGAAAGAAGGAGAGGAAGAAAGAAAGAAAAAAAGAAAGAAAGAAAGAAAGAAAGAAAGAAAGAAAGAAAGAAAGAAAGAAAGAAAGAAAGAAAGAAAGGGAAAGAGGCAGGAAGGGAGGGAGAGAGGGAGGAAGGTAAAGAGGCAGGGAGATAGCTAGCTAAAACACCATCAGCTAAACTCTAGAAAGGGCATAGATGAGGAGACAGCTTTCCTGTTCCTTGTCTCTCTTTTTCTCTGCTTCCTCCCCAACATGCTCCCCTCTACAAACACACACACACACACACACACACACACACACACACACAAACAAGCCTCCCTTCAGAAGACACTCAGTCCTCATTTTCTGAAACTCTTCAGACCAAGAGTAGCAGAGAGCTCAGTTGAATGGTTTTTTTTCTCCTGTACAACTCTGAAGTGGAAAGCTCCAGAGTGTCCCCATGTCCCTGGTTAAGCTACCCTTGACCTAGCCCCTATAAAACTGTACTGGGGGGGGGGTGTTTATTTGTCTGTATTATTTTTCTCTTCTGGTATCTGCGACTTGTTATGTAGACTAGACTGGCCCAAATCCTAGTGACCCTCCTTCCTTGGCCTTTGTAAGTGTTGGGATTTAGTTTGAATACCGGTGTAGCACAGTTTTTACATTTTAATTTGTAGTAAATGACACTGTGGTTAGTTGAGGAATCCCTCAGGTTGGCTTCCCATTTATAAGCTGAATTGGACCCCCTTTTTGGAAGATACAGACCAAAAATCCAATACGAAAGCAATTTGATTTCAAGTGCTCACCTTGTTTTTGTTTGTTTTGTTTTCTAAGACAGGGTTTCTCTGTGTAGCCCTTGCTGTCCTGGAATTCGCTCTGTAGACTTGTCTCTGCCTCCGGAGTACTAGGATTAAAGGCATGCGCCACCACCACCTGGCACACAAGCTCACCTTTTAAAAAGAGGTATCTTCAAATATTAATTGCTTACAGCCTGAGTGAGAATCGGTGTGAGTTGCTATTACTGGGTTTAAAGTGGCAGATAACAAAGTTCCCCCTTCACTTTACTCTATCCAAGATCCCTGTTCTGGGTTCCCAACGCTCATCACCTGTTACCCCAGCCCCTAAAACTGGCTCTCCAGGCTCTTTGAAGTTCTTTTCATGTATACACACACACATAGACAGACATATAACCGTTTCGCCACTTGACCTTGTTACGGAGGTAACCCTGTGTCAATTCACTCTTACACTGGACGGGGCAGAGGATTCCGTTGCTACATCTCCTCCACACCCCCCCCCAAAAAAAAAAGCTGCTTCTGGAACCTGGAGCAGACTCCAGGAGCCCCACCTCCATCGAAGAGTCTACCCCACCTCATCCCCGCTGGCATCACTGGAAAAGAAGAAGGAACCGCTAAGGGACGCGTTTCCCGAGTGGAGGACACACTACCTCTCTTTCTTAGAGGAAACTAAGCATCACAGTAATTAACCAAAGAGACAGCCCAAGTACCCTGACTGAGAACCAAGAGTCCTTGTTCTAAAAACTAAGGAACTTTAAACCACCAGGCGGACAACCGGGGCTTGGCGAGCCCCGTGAAGGGGCCCAGTTAGGCTAGGCGCTCGGGGGCATCTTGGAAAGTCGCTCGCACAGAGCCGGCGCTGTCCATGTGAATCGAGTTGGTTCATTGAAGAGCAACAACGAGAATGCGACGGGATCGAATATTACACGAATAGAGAGGAGCGTCCCAAGAAAGCAAAATTAAATTGGAGAGGGGGTGCTGGGGACAAGGGTTAGTGGAAGCTCAGAGGAGGTGGGCCAGCATGAGAGGTGGTAGGTCCCAGCCACTGCCAGCCACTTCCCCGCGGAGTGCCGAGACTCCTTTCCTAATGCGGAGGTTCCAAACGAAAGCTCCGTCCCTCGTTCCCAAACCTCGAGGGAACTAGGAGCAGAGGTTCTGCTACAGGCGCTGCTCGCGACTTCCCCGCGCTCTGCGCTCCCCAGCTTGTCACTGTTGCTGGCCTCTCTATCTTTGTGTCTATGCCGTCTTTGTCCCTCGTGGAAACGAGGAAAGGGGGAAATCCCTGGGAAATCGCTGCTCCGGGAGGAAAGCCTGCCTCCAACACACACACACACACACACGTAGGATCCACACTCTCTGGCACCCAGGTCACAAGCTTCCCGCGAAGGAGTCCCAGGAAACTCTTGGTGCATTTCGCTGTCCTTTGGTCCCCGCCCCCTTGTAGCGTCAGCGCGCCCCGAGCTGCGGGGTTTAAATGCGCACTAGCGGGAGCCCGGGCGCTTCTGCCCGGGAGCGCGGCCCGGCTGGAACCGCGGAGTGGGAGGGGAGCGAGCTTGCCGCATCCCCAGCCCAGCACCGCCCGGCGGCCCATGACTTCCGGGCGCCGCCGTCGCCGCTGCAGCATCCTTGAGAGCACCAGAAACAGCGTGGATGAGAAACCGCTCGGCTGCCTCCGCGGCGGAGAGCCATGAGCTGTCTGGATGTTATGTACCAGGTCTACGGTCCCCCGCAGCCTTACTTCGCAGCCGCCTACACTCCCTACCACCAGGTACGGGTCAGTCCGGTTGGGGCGGGAACCGGTGGAGTACCCCGACTACCCGAAAGGTCGCCTGAGCCTCCACGAGCCAGGGGCGACAGACAGGCACCCAAAGACTCCGGGATGGGCTGCGACCGCTGTTAGCTAATTTTCTTTCATCTGGTTCATTTGCTGTCTTGAAACAGCACCTAAGTCGTACTGGCGTGCACCGAGGCCTTCTCCAGAGGAGGATGGGTGGTCCCTACTGAATTTTCTTTTAGAGTCCGGTGCCGCAAAGCTTATTCAGGGGAATCCGAACTTTGGTCTTGACAGTAGAAATAAAAACAAAACAAAACAAAACAAAAAAAGGAAATCAAAAGCCTGGCTCTGTCGTTCTAAGATGGAAAGGTTCTCGATCGTCTCCAAGTCAGTTCCCAGGCGGTCGGGCTAACTAGCTCCGGAGCTGGGGGATTCGTTACCAGGTGAACCGCGCAGGAGGCATTGGCCTGGTGATCTGCGTTTTGCGGAATTCTAGGGAGCATTGTTCCGGTGTGATTGATCTGCCCTTGGAGTTCCCCTTTCCGGGTCCTAAGTAGCGGAACCCCACAGCCCAAAGTCACTTTTAAGATCACTTAACCCCGCTCCTGCAAATGTTTAAGTTTCATAAGATTCTGCCTGTGTCTCTTTTCCTTGGGCTGTGTGCCTAGCCAAACAGGGCTTCCTTCCCTGTCCCTAGAAAAGGTAGCAGAATCTGAGGACAGTATTCCAGGGAAAGAGTGAAGGCACACACCTGGGACATCAGAAGTCTGGACGGGACTGGAAAATAAGCGCCTGGTCTACTCTTTTAGGGACATGGAGCTGTATTGTAATGTTTGAGTCAGTACTTTAAACAATTTTGTTTGCGAATCCAAACAATACATGACTTTTGCTTTAAGTCCCTCCCACCCCAGCGCAAACTTTCCAACCTAGAATTTGTAGTCTCCCAGTTAGATTTAGGATTCTCCGTGGCGTCTCGCTGTAAACGAAGTGGGAACGTGGCATTTCGTAGATGATGACTTTAAAAAACTGGTATCTATTGTTCCCCGCCTCTGAGATCAGCAGCCCTTCCCCAGCATGGGAGGATCTACTATAAAAGAGGAGAGAGAGAGAGAGAGAGAGAGAGAGAGAGAGAGAGAGAGAGAGAGAGAGGTTGTCCAGCTGCTTCCTTTTCCTCCTGGACCCTGGACCTGTCTACTACATAAAATTTCTTCCCACTCTGCCCTTACCTTCAAGGCCATCTCTGCCTCCAGAATGATTTAGCGGTATACCACGTCCGGTATGCCACGTCTATGGGTCATTTCTAAGACAATGTTCTCAGAAGCTGCACCTGGTTTTAAAGTTTCACTGATACAGTGATTTGTTCAGTAGCATATAAGGATCCCAACCTTTTTCTTTTTTATAACTTCTGTCCGAAATGTGTGTGGAGATGCTCACAGTGTGCTAGTCCTTTGCTGACTTTTCTTTACTTAAATGATATGTTAAAACCACTAGTACTGAAAATATGCCTGTGGCCCCAGCACTCTGGAGGCAGAGAGACAAGAAGATCTTAGTTCAAGGCCAGCCTCAGCTACGTGGCAAGATTCAGGGCCAGCCTGGGCTGTATGAAATCTTTCATCAAAACAAATCAAACTAATGAAAACAAGGACAATGACTTTGGAAAACAATTTGTGGGAGGTGTGCATACAAAAATCTACTTGCATTTATTTAAAAGATCCAGCAGGATTTGGGACCTCTTTTGTGTTTTCTTCTGGCACTGCATTCCTGATTGCGTGGTGTAGATTCTGTTTTTTCATTATTGTTGTTGTTCTTTCCTTCCTCGTGAGAATGCTTGATCTTGCCTCCTGCTCTTCTGCTCTAAGCTCTCATGTAGAGAATAGTTGACATGGGTGCCTTTTATCTTTCTGTTTGTAAAAGTCTATAAGCCCTGAGCACAACTCTGAAAGCTGAATTCAGCTTATAGTCCTTATACGCTGATTTAGTTTTTCTTTGTTTATTTTTTCACATTGTTTGTCTGGTTGATTAACGGATGGTTGATTAACTGATCAATTTGGTGGCTTCTGAGATTTTTCACCCCAACATTTTAAGAGGGGGTTTCCTGCAGTTCAGTGGCAATTTTGGGGAGTGAGGGTATCAAAGAGGGCAGGTTTTTTTTTTTTTAATCTTTCTATTACAGGACTAGAGGCAACTGTTTTGTCATCTATTGCTGGTCTTATCTGCAGGCACAAAGCTTGGGCAGAGATACTTTAGAGATGAACCTGCATTGACCCTCTCTTCTGAAACTGATTTTCTTTCTTTCTCTGAACAGAAACTAGCCTACTACTCAAAAATGCAGGAAGCCCAAGAGTGCAATGCCAGCCCCAGCAGCAGTGCCAGTGGGAGCTCCTCGTTTTCCAACCAAACCCCAGCCAGTGTCAAAGAAGAGGAGGACAGCCCAGAGAAAGAGCGTCCACCTGAAGCTGAGTACATCAATTCCAGATGTGTCCTCTTCACCTACTTCCAGGGGGACATCAGCTCTGTGGTGGATGAACATTTTAGTAGGGCCCTTAGCCAACCTAGCAGCTATACCCCAAGCTGTACCAGCAGCAAAGCTCACAGAAGCTCCGGACCCTGGAGAGGTGAGTGGGACCTCATTGAGAAGGGTAGGTGGAGGGCTACTGCCAATCTGTCTACCTCCAGGGACCCAAAGAGGTGAGGCCAAAAGAGCAGTAAACATAAAAGAGGGGTTGAAGGACAGTGTTTGTGGGAGGCAAGAACAAGGGAAAGAGCAAGAGCATAAGCTCTTATAGAGGCAGGGGGAAGCGGTGGCCTGGAGGCTGGGATAAGGGGACGGTGGCCTTGGAATTAGAAGCCTTAGATGCGTGCATTGGCTCTACCAATCCCTAGCACAGTGACCTTGGGCGAGTCTCTTAACCTCTAGAAGGTCAGTATTCACTGGTCTCTAAAATTAGAATAACACTTGCCCTCCTAGCCATCCCCAGAGAAAGCTGTAAGAGTCAAAAATTGAAATGTCTGTGGGTGTTTTTGTGGAAACCCGAGGTCTCTCACAGCCGACGGAGTAGAACCTTCACCAACAGCCCACAAGGCTCCTTTGCAGTTTCTGAAAATTTGCCTGTCAACTTCCCTGAGAGCAAAAATCTGCTTGAGAATACCTCCCAAAACCAGCCGGCTTTTTGCCAGGCTTCAAATACTTGGGAAATCTTAAAGCAGAAATTGTTTGTAATGCAAACCAGTGAGTAGCAGAGCAAGAGAACACCTTTAACAGCTTCTCCAAACAGATCAGTCTCTTTCTACATTCCCTATAGGCATCTGCTTTACTCAAAGGACGAATACCAAAGTGGCAGTCTTCCTCTATTACCTGAGGAAACCATCCAAAGCTCTCTCAGTCAGTTTAGTCTTTGATGTGTAACTAAGCTGAGAAGTGACAATTTCGTTGTATATAAAAAAAAACTAATTTTCATTTGTCATTTGTGCAAGAATGACAATCTTCACTCCACCTCGTTATTTTCATAATAATATCTGGCATTTTGCACAAACCTTGTCCTCAGAAGAGATTTCAAAGCATTCATTTTAAGTGCAAAACGTCCCTTTTAGTCTCCTGTTGCTTAATATTTTTTTTTTACAGGACATTTGTTCACCATTCAGAAAATGCTTTCCAGGCTGGTTTAGATTTTCTAGCATGTAGTGCTTATGCCTCAGAAGAGGTGTGCCATAAAGGGGCTTTAGATTGAATGTCTCTCTCTCTCTCTCCTTACTCTACCCAAGGCAGCAAATTTGACCTAAGCCCCCCCTCTTTTATCAAGCTACCATAATCTAAAGAGTTGACAGTGATGCTGATGACTGTTGTCATTATTATTATTATTATTATTAATTTCCAGCATCCTCATTTTGCTCAGAAAGTTTATTAATTAAAACTTGAGGGTTTTTTTTTTTCTTTTAAGCCTATAAGACGGCTGCTCTTTTAACATACCGACCCCATTTCTCTCCTTGTATTCTCGCGGGAAAAGGGATATATTTGAAAGAAGACTTCTAGAGAGAACACCACTAAATAACAGGACTTGGACTTCTTTGGTCTCCCAGTCTTACAGACAGTTTCCTTGAAACAGAGCATTTCCTGGACCAGGGAATGTTGAAACAGGAGAGAAGGTAGTGAGATAGCTAGACCATAAGCAGAGGGACCTAAGAGTTCAGCTTGGAGGCAGGACTACAGCCTGGAAAAGGGAGTTTGCCCTAGACCGGAGGGGAGAGGGCAATTTCTCTACTTCAATCGCCTTCCTCCACCACGAGAAATTGTACTGCTGGCCCATCTACAAAACTGGGTGATTCAGAGGTCCCCTGGGCTTTCGGGAGCCTTCACTTCACAGTGCCCTGGCCTCCGTGTCACCCGCAACGGGCGGTGACCCACAGGCAAAGGCTGCGGCTCCCTCCCCTCCGTGGCCTTCTAGCCCTTGATCCCTAGTCCCCAGGCCGGATCGGGCTGGCGTGGCCGCCGGTGACACACTCCTCTCTCGCTTTCCTCCCGCCCCGGCCAGCTGAAGGCACCTTCCCGATGAGCCAGCGAAGCTTCCCCGCCTCCTTCTGGAACAGCGCGTACCAGGCGCCGGTGCCCGCGCCCCTGGGCAGTCCCCTGGCAGCCGCGCACTCGGAGCTGCCCTTCGCCGCCGACCCCTACTCTCCCGCCGCGCTCCACGGCCACCTGCACCAGGGCGCGGCCGACTGGCACCACGCACATCCGCACCACGCGCACCCGCACCATCCCTACGCGCTGGGCGGCGCCCTGGGAGCGCAGGCCTCCGCGTACCCGAGGCCGGCGGTGCACGAAGTGTACGCGTCCCACTTCGACCCTCGCTACGGGCCGCTGCTCATGCCCGCCGCCTCGGGCCGTCCCGGCCGCCTGGCCCCTGCCTCGGCGCCCGCTCCCGGCAGCCCGCCCTGCGAGCTCGCGGCCAAGGGCGAGCCGGCGGGCGGAGGGTGGGCCGCGCCCGGGGGAGCCTTCGTGAACCCCGCCGGGGAAGTGGCCCAAAGCCTGGGCCTCAGCGTGGACTCAGGTAAGCGGAGGAGGGAGTGCAGTCTCCCGGCCGCCCCTCCGGCCCTGTATCCGACTCTGGGTTGAGCCCCAGGCGCTCCCAAATCCCCCCACACCCTGACTTCCCTTGCGAGACCCCCCCAGGACCATGTGGCTGAGAGATTGCATGCCATCATTTGTTTCTGTGGGTAGACATCTCTAGAGTGTAGCACCCTGCCCTCGGCCTGGCTTGGTGGTACAGAGGACTCTTCTTATCCTTTGACTAAAGTTTTCGGTGGAAAGATTCTAGTCTGCGCTGGTCAGAACTGTAGCCACTAACCACGCGTGACTACTGAGCCTTTGCTAGTGGCTGGGATGAACAGAGATGTGCTGTCAGGCATAATACACACTGGATTTCCAAAACTGCAAAAGAAAATAATGTAAAACTTCACCTCGTTAACATTTTATACTGACTTTGCATGTTCTGATATGTCCAGCAATTGCCTATTGGTTATATTGCGTTAAATAAAATACACTATTCAAATGATCAATTGTTTCTTCTTACTTTGATCCTTCTGAGTGGCACCGACGTACCTCATTGCTCCTGCAGGGTCCCCAATCGAGAGTACCTGTGACTGCCGTCTACCTCTTACAGCTGCTTAGCTGCCAAATTGAGTAGGTCTTTCACGCGCATAAATTTTAGACTGTTTTTTGGATGGTAATGCTAAGAGGCTAGATGGCTGGCCTAGAGTTGAACTTCAAAGGCAGGCATTCATTCAGATGAGAACTGGAGACATCTGAGGGTTTGGCCCTCTTTTTGCTTTTTAGCGCAAATGACAAATGTTTTAAAATAAGCCCAGTTATTGGCGAGCCCTTTTCCCTTTTCCTCAGATGAAAGCTTCACTTCTCCTGAGGCTTTGCTTCAGCATTCGCTGCCTGTAGATGAAGTCTGTAACTGTCACACTCACCTTTCACTGCCTGTAGAAGAAGTCTGTAACTGTCACACTCACCTTTCACTACCTGTAGATGAAGTCTGTAACTTTCACGTTCACCATTCATTGCCTGTAGATGAAGTGTGTGGCTATCACAAGAAAATGGTATGTTTGTCGTTTTTCCCCTTAAATATCCTGACAGCATCACCCCCACCCCACCCCACCCCAGCTGCCACCCCATCTTCTCTCTATTTTCAGCTTCACAGACTCAGGACCAAGGCAAGGATCTGCATGGACTTTAGACAGACCACCCTCTTTCCTGAAGGTCTCCATGTAACTCCGTAGGTGCACATCTTTGAGCTGACCTCCTGATCCCGTTTCCCCTCCAATGTCTGTCCTCTGACCAGCAATGGGGGATAGCATCTGTGCCTCTCAGTGAAGGAGAGAGAATAGGCAGTGAAGGCAGAAACTTCAGACTTCCCTGTCTGTTGGGAAAACCAAAACCCACATGTACAGAACTATCAAGTTAATCTCTTCTGAGTTACATTTAATGGCTTTTGGCCACAACACAGGAAATATCTGGGGCCAGTTTGCTTAGCCGGTTGGTGTGCTATAAGCATTCTTGAAATGAGAAATAGAGACCTTTTGGTGTGACTATTTTTTTTTAGGCTGATGTGAATTCGCAACCAAAAAGAGACATGATAAAGAAGCACAAAGACAGCAGATTCCTTCCTCACATCCCAGCCTCCAGCTCCTGCCTTGTCCATCACCTCGCCATAGCACCCACTCCAGAAAGACATGCTCTTTCCTGTGAACTGTGAGCATGGGAGCCTGAGCCTGAACATGACTGGCAAGTGGCAGATCTGGGGCCACCTGCCCAAGTCTTACTGCAATGCAGCTGTTGGGAGACAGCTGTTTCAAACTCCAGAAATACATTCGCCAAGGTGGAACTTCGTAGTGTCTGCACTGAGTACATTATATATAACCATGTATATATAGTATCACTTTTATAAGGAACATTTTGCAACAGGAACAACAAAAGTAAATTTTGCTTCACCTTCTCTCCCACAAACCCTACCCCTCTCTCTGTCCTCCACTGAAACTACAAACAGGAGACATTCCCCACCCCAACTGGCTTCATAGGAAGGATTAAGTATCACAAATG